ATCAGAAAGTAAAAGGTATATTTTGCATTCACATGCATGCAAAAATGTACTTAAATGTCCATGGAAAAAGAGGATAACCATGTTTTATGCTTTGTGTTTTCAGAAGATGAAGTTGTCATGAACAAAAATGCACAAAATGAAGACGCTTTAGAGGAAGTGACAGATGCAGCAAAAAATAACGTAAGAAAACTAAAGTCCAAAACCTTAAGAGTGTCCTCTATATATAACAAGCCTTATTATAAACAAATGGAATAATGCAACAAATTTATTTTATTGTTAGCTGCGATCAGTGCAGTACTGTGCAAAAGTCTTGAGCCACCCCGCAACTTCTGTGTATTTTGCTTCCCAACCAGTGTTGGTCAAGTTACTTGAAAAAAGTAATCAGTAACTAATTACTGGTTACTTCCCCAAAAACGTAATCCCGTTACTTTACTGATTACTTATTTTCAAAAGTAATTAATTAATTAATTACTTAGTTACTTTTTAAAAACACGACAACCTGAACAGGTGATAAATCTTTCAGCCCAATTCTACTTTTTCTGCATAATCCATCATACAAAATGTAATCAAATGGAAAAGTCTCTTTTTAAAACTTGTTTTATTAGTTTTAATCTTTTAACTTTATGCATCAAGCAAAAAATTTAATTATATGCAACATTCTCTGACTGGAAGAAATTAGTTTAACATTTAAACCTATTTTCTGCACATTCCAGCACATAAAATAAAATATTTTTTTGTGTTTACACTCACTCTTTCAAATAGATGCAAGTAAAACACAGCAGAAAATAAATAAAATAAATAAAGTCAAAGACTCAGCGGTCCTGTTGTTCTATTTTCACCTGTAAAGCAGGAGTAGGGCAGGCGAAGTTTTGCCCTGGTGTAGGTGTACCGCAGCGGTCAGTGGAAGAATCCGCGAGTTTCTCTGTGAATTTCCCATTACCTCGTTGCGCACTCGGTGCTTGCTTTGAAGTTTAGGGGTTTTTTTTTCGCTGTTAAAAGAAGTTTTCTTCCCACTCACAAGGACACTAATGTTTTTGTCACTTTTTATGGAATCAAACTCAAAGTAAGGTCAGTACTTCCACGCTTTAAACGCTGCACGCTCATACTCTGTTGTCACGAACGTCGCACTCGCTTACGTCACTGTCATGAGACATGGCAAAAAATCACGGTTTTAGTAACGCAGTAACGCAGCGTGCTTCCGGGAAAGTAACGGTAATCTAATTACCATTTTTGCAATAGTAATCCCTTACTGTACTCGTTACTTGAAAAAAGTAAATGGATTACAGTAACACGTTACTGCCCATCTCTGTTCCCAAGTATCCAGACTTTTGTCATTTTTTAAAGTTCTCCAGAATTTTTTTTGAACACTGGCTGCTTACTTCTTTTCAGTTCGGTTTTTGTGCCTGAGTATTTCAAGAAAAAGAATCTGTTTGTTGAGCCCCCTTGGCCCATTTGCTGCTTAAAAGGCCTCACAAAACATTTTTTTATGTTTAAGCCAAGAACTCACAATGAATTTCAATGTTCAACACAAACGTAGTATAAAATGAAGTAATAAAATTTCAAATCGTCATCATTACTATCACATCATAGTATTATGTAATGTATTTGTAACCATTATTGAATACAATGAATCAGAAGCAGGCAATAACTGTTAACATTTATCACGGATAGTGATTGGATTATAATAAACTTTGGTGCTCACCTTGAAATTGGAGGAACTGTATGAGCCAGAGGTGTTCAAAATGTTGGATTATTGTGTCTCAGTTAATGCACACACAGATACACCACACAGACTTTTATTATAATTCCGCTGAAGTCTTCATATTGAGTGTGCATAGATGTGGTTTTACTGTTGTATTCACTGCTGTAGATGACAAGACAATAATCTTAATTTGACAGTGGTGCTAACGTAGGAAAGATATTAACAACACATGATGATGTGTTGTTCATTGGTCTCTGAATAGATTCATGGAAATCAAGAAGTTGTGATGTGTAAGGAGGAGACGTCCAGACAACAGAGATGAACCAAACTATGAAAATAGAAGAAATCTACCTGAATAAAAATGTCCATGAAGCCAATAACAGATAAACAGAACATGCATTTGGGGTCAAACAGTGGATCTCACCTGTATAGAGATTATCCTGTTGAATTTTTCTTTAATGCCAAGAAATCTTAGAATAATCAGCTTTCTCACGGACTCTGTGTTACCATGTGAAATAACTGCTTTTTATGCATATATAGCTTCACTTCTTACTCCTTTGCTGTTGTCTCTATTCTCATGTTTATTGCTTAGTGTTAACAACATAATCTGCACTGATTTTCTCATTCTGTGAAAAGCCTCAAATGTCAAATGTAAACATGAGTGTCAAGTGAATAAATCAGCAAAGAAAAATGAAACTTGGTTGTTTTGCCCTATTTTACCATAAACTGCCACATTTTCAGGGTCTGTGATTTCCAGGTAATTGACTTGAAACAGAGCAAGTAAAAATTACTTCCTTGTGACTGTCAGCAAAACAAAAGAGATGGTTGTTGACTTCAGGATGGAAAAAAACAGCGACTAAAGCCACCACAGGTACTTGCACGGTTACCTGAACAGTAATACTGTGTAAAACAAGGGGATAAGCCCAACTCTGCTTTCTAATGAAACTCTACTTCTCCGTCTTACAGTTATATTATCAACCTATTACCCGGGGCAACTGTGCTCACTAGCCGACTGTACAGGTTGTCAAGACCTGAAAGAGAAGTAATGGAAAAGTACATTAGTGATTCCCTTGCTGCTGAAATCATCTTTGTCCATCTTTGATTAAACTTGTCTCTGCCCAGTAAAAGTTACCCTAGAACATGAACATGCTGGAAAACACTGTGAATGTTTTCCATGTCTCCCAGCTAAAACCTGTTCTGACCACTCCGTTGGCTCCTGACCTTTTATTACATGTACTGTATAAGAGGCCCTGACCTGCCTTTTCCTTATGCTCAGATTTTGGCTGGAAAATTCCCTCACACAGAATGGTGAGCTGGCCTTGTGCGGAATGAGCCAGAGGATTGGAAATTTTTTGGAGTGTGTGGAAAGCCTTTGATGAGATTGTGCTCTTGCTACTGTTTTGACCCTTTTGGAGTTCTGTCTATTTCCCTGTAAATAGATGCATTGCCTTCGACTTGGAGTCCTGTGTTTGAATCTTGCTTGCACCTTGATCCCTTGACATTTGGATAATGTAACTTTTTCCACTTTCTCACGATAATATCCCCAATATGTGCCTGTAGTACATGAACTTTTTTTCTTTATTTTGGTGCTGTATCACAAAAATGTTTTATTTCCTTGTGGGATCAATAAAGTATCACAAGATATCACCACTTTAAAAGTACTGATTATGTGAAGTGTGTGAGTACTTCTTTCACCACTAAGTGGCACAAGTCATCCATTTAAAATTTTTTAAATCGCTTTCATCGGAAGACCAACTAATAATGTCCACTGCCCTCTGTGATGATAGTCTAGGCTTTCCTACTGTGTTTGTAATATTCTAACAATAGTTCATTTTAAGTTTCTGTTTTGATGAACAGAAACCAAGATGTGGAGACTTCCTGCTGATCACACTCTGCAAGAAGTTGTTTAAATGGCTTAAGAAGTAGAGAAGAAGAGAGATGAAAATGAAAAATAAATATAGATTACGTACATAAATCTATGTGTTTTAGAAGAAAAGAGTAGAAAAAAGCTCCTTCGCCTATGATCACGGTTATGAGTCTTGCATAGAGAAGTATCTATGCAAATGATTGTGATGACAAGTATGCTTGTAATGCAGTATCGTAATCAAGGGGATGGACACAAGCCTTCACAGTATTTTTTATTGCTTAGAATTAATTATCTGCACTGAAATTGTGCAAAACCACAAATTAAATTAAATTAAATTAAAGTAGCAACATAAGTATAAAGTGAGCAAAGTAGCAAAACCACATTCTGAGCACACCTGTTTGACAAAGAGAAGAATAATTGTGACTCTAAACACTGCGACCTCACTCCTATGTAGTAATTTTTTAAGTTTCTGGGATATTCAGTCCCTGTGCCAGCTAGCTTATCCACCACTAAAACATCCACTCAGTCCATCATGCCAACACAGCAACCAGCACCTTAGCAGTCTGAGCTTGAGCCAGTGGGTCCGGTTCCACCAGGATGTGTTGGACCCAGAGGAGCCAGCACCTGGTTTTCCTAGGCACCTAGAACCAGCACTCAAGGCTTCCATGTTGCAGGAGGCCAAGTCTCTTTGATGGCAGGCTTTGAAGGCTTTCTCTTTTGCCAGCCATCTCTGTCACTGGCCTCCAGATCTACTTTGTCTCTCCCACTGGCCTCGTGGCTGACCTCCAGACTTCCTTTGTCTGCAGCTACTGGTCTCACCCCTGAGTTTTGCACTGCGGCCTGGGCAGCCTCTTCTAGTTGCCGCGCTGGCCGCCTGAACATTTTGTATTGAAGGACTGAGTATTTCTTGCTGTTTTATTGTGTTTCAAACCTGTGTCTTGTTTTATGGCCAAGGAGAGCTCCAGGACAATTTTTGTTTTGTTTTGTTTCTGGACTCTGGCTTTTCCTTCAGTCCTGCCACTGCACCATGGTAACTTGTGCTCTTAACCTTCAAAGTGGATCTTGCACATAAATCCAAAATGATTTTAACACAATCTAACATTAGCGAATATTTGTTCAGTTATTGTCCTGTTTTATGATATTAGGCTGTAGTGCCCCTCAGTCGAAGGAAAATAAAATGCTATGTTACATTTACCAACTTCATAGGAACTGTTTTTAGTGTAAACCTCAGAATAATACTCACACAAATAATTCACAAGAAAAAAGTCAGTTTATTTACTACCAGTCTAATCAGTCTAAATGACAAGAGTTTCCACATTAAAAATGCAATTGTGCAAGGACTAAAAAAAATTGCTCAAAATGCAGAAGTGAAAGTCTTCTGCATCTATAACTTCTATGGGCGTCATTTATTCACAGGATTTCCTCTTAAGTTTTTATTTCTATGAAGCAAAGCAAAGATGTGGAGCTTTCAAAACCTGCTGTTGACCATCTGCAGTGAGTTATTTTAATGAGTACATTAGTAAAAAAGATGAAGACTAAAGATAAATCTAGACTAATTGTGTACTTAAATACTACTCCTGATTTTTTCTTTTCTTTACAGAGCAGTAACAATACTAGCTTGAATGCCTAAATGGAAAAAACAAAAAAAAACAAAACAATGATCTTTATATTTTCTTTACGTTACAGTTGTTCTGAGGTGTGTGACCAGTGCAGTAGGGGTGATCCATGTGACTGGATATGTGGGGAGTATAGTTAAAGTTTCCTGTTCCTATGATGAGGGTTACGAGTCTTATGAGAAGTATCTGTGTAAGAACAACTGTGGTGACAGTGATGTTCTTGTTACAACATCGGAATCAAGGAAAAACAAATACAGGATCCATGATGACAAAACAGCACGAATCTTCACAACGACCATCTCTGATCTTCATTCTGAGGATGCTGGGAAATACTGGTGTGGAGTGACCATAACTGGAAAAGATATCTACACTGAAGTTGAGCTGAAATTAGTGCCAGGTAAACAGGGACTTCCAAAAAATGAATTATAGTTGAGTAAAATTCATATATAGAAGATGTTCATGATTGTAGAGCTTAAAGGTGAGAACAGATAAAATGTAACTGGTAAACAATTACTTGACTTTACTTAATTTTATTTATATAGTGCTAGGTCACAAAAACCAGTCTCCTCAAGGTACTTTACATTGTATAGTAAAGACTAGGGATGGGTATCGTAACCCGGTTCTTGTTGAGAACCGGTTCCCACTGTTTCAATTCCTTGGAATTGTTTGCCATTTTTGCAAACGATTCCCTTATCGATTCCAGTCGCCCCGAATGACGTCACCACGTTGCAGAACGCCATTTACCTGGCAGGAAACACGGCGCCTAAATGGCTCAAACGCTCAAAAGTTTGGTTATATTTCATGAGAACGGATGGTCTGGCTGGCTCAGATGCTGGCAGTTGTCGCTGCAGTCTACTGGTAGCGTCTCCTTTCAGGCCAGGATAGACGAATGTCACCGAGCAGTGACTAAGTTTGTGGTAAAAGGCTTGCACCCATTTGCCACAGCAGATGATTTTCGGTAAGTGAATGTGTTTAATTGTAGGCAGGGACATTACTGGATATTCTTGTGTAATTGCTACTGAATAATTTATGTTATACTTTATTATTGCTACAGAAGAATATTTATTTTATTATTTTACATTTACAATTTTTTTTCCTGGGGACCCTGTGACACCACATTGAAGAGCCGTAGGCTGTGGATCTCTTAAGATCTCACTGTCGGGTTTGTAAGGCCATGTTACTCCTATCTTGTTCAAAGAGAAGATATAAAACAAAGTTCTAAGCTATTCGACCTTAGTGTTCTCCTTTTTTAAAGAGAATCGATAAAGAATCGGATCGTTAAACAGAATCGAAAATGGAATCGGAATCGTGAAAATCTTATCAATACCCATCCCTAGTAAAGACATTATGTCTTTATGACATTCCTACAGTTTAACTAATTATTAAGATCTATCATTGATAGAGCTGGGTATCAGATATAGCAATTATGTTTGGTTTGTTTAAAATGTACTTGTTGCAGCATGTTGAATATAAAATATCATATCTCTATTCTCTATTCTTTTCTTTTCTGATGCTCTTTACCTTCTTGACAGACAGATGCTGTGACACTGTGACTACAGTCCAAAGTTATGAGGGATACTCTGAGTCCATCAGTTGTCCATATGACTCTCAGTATCAGAACAACTTCAAGTACATCTGCAGAGGAAACCTGCCCTCCACATGTCTGCAGCAGGCACTAATCACCTCTAACAACAGAGAAAATCGACGATTCAGACTTGATGATGAAAAAATGTTAAGAAAGTTTACAGTGGCCATTAGCAATTTGACTCAAAGTGATTCAGGGTCATACCTCTGTGGTGTCCAAAGAAACTCTGACCTGGATGTTTTCTCTGCTGTTGAGCTGAAGGTCAAAGGTGTGAGGTTATAATTACATAATTACACTAACAAAAAGGAAATAATTTCTTCTAAAAGGCTCTCTAAGAAACTCTTTAAATTATTTGTCTCTTTCAATCTGGCAGAGTGGTGCTGCGTCAAGTCAACTAAAGTAACAGGTACTGCAGGGCATCCATTAACTCTGCAGTGCCCTTATCCTTCACAAAATCAAAATAACAGGAAGTTCCTCTGTAAAGGAGACCACCGCAACAGCTGCAGAGACATGGCGATGATTGAAAGCAGACTCACACTACGAGATGATATTTATTCCAACTCTTTCTCAGTGACGATCACAAAGATACAAGCGGATGATGCTGGGACATACTGGTGTGGGTCAGACTCACAATGGAGAGTTGGAAACCATGTTAAGATTCAGCTGTCAGTTGGTGAGATGAATACTTGTGTACACAAAAATAAAATGGCCAGAGCTGTAAGTAACATCCTTTTTTGCAGCCCAGTGTGTAAATATAGACTGTGCATGGTGGTTCAGTTTTTTTGTAGTGCCAAACATAGAACAAGAGGTTGGTGCAGTCCAGCAACTTAACACAACCAGAGTGAACTACTTTTTAGAAGTCATATTTTTACCCTAACACCAAACTATCATTTGAAGTTTTTAATCTTTATGTAGCTTATTTGTTAAAAAAATTTTCTAAGATTATCTGGTTAATAAAAGTTTACAAACACTCCAGTGCCATTTCTGATTCTGTACTTAGTTATATGAGCTAAAAGTGAATGCTGGAGGTTAAAGGTAATTATTAAAGTTCATAGAGCAGAGAGGGAAAAAAAACAGGAAAACCAAATATTTATATTCTGTATTTAAATCATTTTAATCAGTGTTCCACTAAACTATATATCTAAATATAAAACCATAGATGTTAAGTGGTCTACTGACTATTTTAATGTATAAATTGACAAACAAAGAATCTGATTTCAGGTAAGTGAATAGTTTAAGAGTGAAAGCCAATCTGGATCTCTCTGAAACTGTTCACTCAATTTAAAATAGATTATTGTATTATGATGAAGTTTCTAAGAACATTGAAAGTCTTTTTCTTCAACAGTGTCTCCACAGCACACCAGCACTGTACCTTCCACAATGGAAATTCCAGGAAAAACTACAACACACAATAAAACTACAACTCAAAATAGACCTAATAAAGGTACAGTGTATACAATGTGTCTTTTAGTGTGTGCTGTACTGTTGATCAGTTATGTGAGATAGCTTATGGAGAGATAACGTACTTTATGGTTACAATTGGAAATAGTTATAGTTTTTTGAGTACAGTTTCAGCAAGTCCCATGGGAGTGAATGTAGACCATGGTAAAATGAGTGTCAAAACAGCAGAGGGTCTATGTTTTATTAATAGATTAAAAAAAATAGATATAAAAAGAAAACTACCATCTGAGCCCACAGTTCAACTTGTCTTAGTGTAAAAAGGAAGTCTGTACTTTTACTGGGTTCTGTTTTGGTTTCTGCTTTTCAGATGCAGGGCAGTATGTGGTTTATGCTGTGCCCGCTGTGCTGCTGCTACTGATATGTGCCCTCGTGGTTACAGTTTATCAATGCAAACATCAGAAAGTAAAAGGTATATTTTATGGGCAAATGTACTCAAATGTGCATGCAAAAAGAACACAACCATGTTTTATGCTGTGTGTTTTCAGACGGTAAAGCTGTCATGAACAGAAATGCAGAGAACGAAGAAGGTTTAGAGGAAGTGACGGCTGGTGCAGAAAATAACGTAAGGAAACTAAAGTCCAAAGCCTTAACAGTGTGCTCTATCTATGACAAGTCTCACTATGTACAAACAAGCAATGTTTTATTTTTCTTAAATGAGTTCAGTACAGTACTGTGCAAACGTCTTGAGCTATCCCTCATTTCTTGTAATTTTTGAAAGTTCTTCGGGCTTTCTGAATCTTAAAAGTCTTTATGAAATCTTCCTCAGACACTGGCTGCTTTTTCCCTCCTTCTCAGTCCAATCCCTTTATCTGACTATTTTCACAGTAAATGTTTTTAATATTATCGTTAAGCCACCTAACATTGACCCGTGAATCACAGACAGTGTTGGGAAGGTTACTTTTAAAATGTATTCCATTACAGAATACAGATTACATGCCCCAAAATGTATTCTGTAACGTATTCCGTTACGTTACTCAATGACAGTAACGTATCCTGAATACTTTGGATTACTTAATATATTATTCATGCTTTTTACAACAACGTGAATGTACTATTGCTGTGTGATTTATTACTATTACTGAAGGTCCGCGACTCCGAACTGTAGTAAAGGGACCCCTGACTAATACAGCGGGGTCCCTGTTGGCTCGTAGCCGAAAAATAGCTTTACTTTGTTGTGTGAGTCAACTCTGCTTGCCAGAGACAGAGAGAGGTGTCGAAAGGCTGCTCCAACGGAACTTATTGTTTTCGGAGGAAAACACGAACATGGTGTACAGTCGAGTCTTAATAGCTTACTTACAACTGGGCTCGTCAGGCACTCTTCTCGGCTGAAGTAGTTATTATTATATTTACATGCTTCCAGCTCCCGTTTTTGCTCGATGACAACTCGTACCTTTCCACTCCCCTTTTTCTCCCTCCTCGCGCTCACAGACACATAACGTGTATGGCAGTCCATTCTCCCTGCAACACGGACTACACTGCCCATGATGCTACATTCTTTAGAGCTATGCTTGTAGCATTCTGCCTGTTAGCTTAGCACAACAACAACGAAAAGGCGCTCTCTCACCCAGGAAACACACAGTCGCAGAGAGAGAGAGCGTCGCCCTGTAACCATGGCAACCGTAACGCTGCCGCCTGGAACAACAGAACGTAGCTGTCAAACAAAACCCAAACAGTCCTGACCCGCCACAATATGAAACAGGAAAATACCGCAGTGTAATCCATTTATTTCCGCAAAGTAACTGTATTCTGAATACCACCTTTTTAAATGGTAACTGTAACGGAATACAGTTACTCATATTTTGTATTTTAAATACGTAACGGTGGTACATGTATTCCGTTACTCCCCAACACTGATCACAGAAGCATAAAAAATGCATCAAACTCATGGGGTGAGCCTGTCAAGAAGTCATTCTCAATCGAAGGAAACAGAAAAGGCAGAGGTATGCCAAATTATCCAAGAACTGGACTGACAATTAGTGACTATAAGTCTTATGGGATGATAAATTTTATAAGAAAATTATGAATGTGTTTCAAACTGTCATCAGTAGGTGCAGGGGCGGTACGGAGAGAACAGTACAACAGTACTCTCTGTTGTTGTTTGGGGCTGAATTCAAACAAGTGGTCTTTGGGATCTTATTAACATTGATGGAATTATGAACACAGAAAATCACCATCAGATTTTGATCTATCGTTCAATACCATCTGGAAATAATTCTAACAAAAGGTCATTTGTCATCATCATCATCATCAACTTTATTTATAAAGCACTTTAAAACAACCACAGCTGACACAAAGTGCTGTACATTGGAACTGTAAAATAAAATTACATGAGATATAAATAAAAAACAAATAAAAGAAGAGTGAAATCATTAATTAAATAACTACTGCATTAAAAAAAGAAACTAAGTCTCACTGAGGTTAAAAGCCAAGGAATAAAAGTGGGTTTTAAGACGTGATTTAAAAGTGGACAGTGAAGGGGCCTCTCTAACATGCATGGGCAAATTATTCCATAATTTGGGAGCCACAATAGAGAAGGCCCTGTCCCCTCTGAGCTTCCTCCTGGATCTCGGTACCTCCAGGAGCAGCTGGTCAGCTGACCTGAGAGACCGACAGGGTATGTGGGGATGAAGAAGCTCAGAGATGTAAGGCGGGGCAAGACTGTGTAGGCATTTAAAAACAAACATAAGAATTTTAAAATTAACTCTAAAAGACACAGGCAGCCAGTGCAGAGAGGCCAGCACGGGGGTTATATGCTCTCTTTTTTGAGTTCCTGTTAGGAGTCGTGCAGCCGCATTTTGAACCAGCTGCAGACGTGAGAGCAATGACTGACTGACCCCCACATAAAGTGAGTTACAGTAGTCCAGGCGGGAAGAAATAAAAGCATGGATCACTGTTTCAAGGTGCTGCCTCGAAAGAAAAGATTTTAGTCTTGCCAGTCGCCTTAAATGATAAAAACTGGACTTCACCACTGCTCTGATTTGGTTGTCCAATTTAAAATCACTGTCCAACTTAAAACCAAGGTCAGTAACGACAGATTTAAAATAGACTTCCAGGGATCCTAAAACAACAGAGGAGGACTCACAGGGACCACTGGGTCCAAACACCAACACTTCTGTTTTCTTTTTATTAAAATTTAAAAAGTTTCGAGCCAACCAAGCTTTAATGTCATCTAGACATGTCAAGAGAGGTTTTAGCATGATAATGATCCCAATCCCAACAATGATCAGGTAGAGTTTCACGATATACCAAATCAGCTTTTATTATTCATGGTTTTTGTTATTTTACTGATAGCAAACTGATGTTTGAATCTTTCATTCAGATTCATCCACAATGTTACTATCCATCCATCCATCTTCATCCGCTTTGTCCAGGGCCGGGTCGCGGGGGCAGCAGCCTAAGCAAAGAGGCCCAGACCTCCCTCTCCCCAGCCACCTCCTCCGGGGGAATACCAAGGCGTTCCCAGGCCAGCCGAGAGATATAATCTCTCCAGCGTGTCCTGGGTCTGCCCCGGGGCCTCCTCCCGGTGGGACATGCCTGGAACACCTCACCCAGGAGGCGCCCAGCGGGCATCCTTGTCAGATGCCCGAACCACCTCAGCTGGCTCCTTTCGATGTGGAGCAGCAGCTGCTCTACTCTGAGCCCCTCCCGGATGGCCGAACTTCTCACCCTATCTCTAAGGGAGAGGCCAGCCACCCTTCGGAGGAAGCTCATTTCTGCCGCTTGTATCCGCGATCTCGTTCTTTCGGTCACTACCCACAGCTCGTGGCCATAGGTGAGGGTAGGGACGTAGATCGACCGGTAAATTGAGAGCTTCGCTTTTACACTCAGCTCCCTCTTCACCACGACGGACCGGTGCAGCGTCCGCATTACTGCAGCTGCAGCCCCAATCCGTCTGTCGATCTCCGGCTTCCTTCTCCCATCACTCGCGAACAAGACCCCGAGATACTTGAACTCCTCCACTTGGGGCAGGAACTCATCCCCGACCCGGAGTGGGCACTCCACCCTTTTCCGGCTGAGAACCATGGCCTCAGATTTGGAGGTGCTGATCCTCATTCCCGCTGCTTCACACTCGGCTGCGAACCGTTCCAGTGCGAGCTGGAGGCCCTCACCCGATGAAGCCAACAGAACCACATCATGTGCAAAAATCAGAGATGAGATTCTGAGGCCACCAAAGCGAAAGCCCTCCTCCACTTGGCTGCGCCTAGAAATCCTGTCCATAAAAATTATGAACAGAACCGGAGACAAAGGGCAGCCCTGGCGGAGCCCATCACCCACCGGGAACGAGTCCGACTTATTGCCAGCAATGCGAACCAAGCTCTTGCAACGGTTGTATAGGGATCGAATGGCCCGTAGCAATGGGCCAGACACCCCATATTCCCGCAACACCTCCCACAGGACACCCCGAGGGACACGGTCGAATGCCTTCTCCAAGTCCACAAAACACATGTAGACTGGTTGGGCAAACTCCCATGCACCCTCAAGTATCCTGGAGAGGATAAAGAACTGGTCCAGTGTTCCGCGACCTGGACGAAAACCGCATTGTTCCTCCTGTATCCGAGGTTCGACTAACGGACGAACTCTCCTTTCCAGCACCCTGGCATAGACTTTCCCAGGGAGGCTGAGGAGTGTGATCCCCCTGTAGTTGGAACACACCCTCCGGTCCCACAATGTTACTATTCAGTACTAATATATGATAAAATGAGGAAGTTATCACATTCAAAATCACCATCATCACTTAAACGCTTTTTGATCTGTTCTTCATTACCATAAAGAAACCGCATGATAGTGATTAGATGACACAAAACTTTGATGCTCATCTTGAAATTGTGGCAGGAATTCTCAAAATGTACGATGGCTGAGTGCCAATTAACCCACATAGACAGATTGGACAAACTTAGTGAGTGAGTAAGCGAACAACCAGTGATCAGCAATACTTAACAGTTTTAGGGAGATATAATTAGCTAAGATGTTAAAACAGAAGAGGGAAAAAAAGAGAAGTTCTCCCTTGGTTGGTTTTGCACTTCTGTAGTGTGAAATTAACCACTGACTAAAGAAATATAGCGCATTCGCTCATTGAAGTATTTGGGGGTAGCATGAAATGTTATTGAGGACAGCCACTGGCCCACAGGCTACACTTAGAGAGCCGAACTTTACACTGTCTATGTGGTTTAGCTTACAATGTGTGAAAAGCATCTAATTTGAGATTTTTAAAATTCTTTTGACCTTAAAACTAAACTATGTAATTTATTTGCAGCAATATTTGAAGCATCATCTGTTTTTGTAATTTTTCTATCAGAATTCAAATTGTTAAAAAATGTTTGCTTTAAAAAATGACATAACATCATGTGTTGTTCATTGGTCTCTGAATAGATCTACGGAAATGAAGAAGTTGTGAGGTACAAACAACAGAGTGCCTGTAACAACTATGACGATGCAGGTGAAGATGAACCAGACTATGAAAACTTCACAACATCTGAAGAAGTTTACTGTAATGAAAATTTCCACAGAAGATAAACAGAGTATGCATTTCATGTCAAAATGTGGGTTTCACCTATATAGATTTTAACTTGTTTGATTTCTCTTTAACTGTTGAACAACAAATTTCAATGAACAGCCTTCTCTTTGTCACACTGAAAAGCTCTTTATGCGTGTGTAGCTTGACTTGTTTTTATAGCTTAATTTTTATTGTTTAGTGTTTTTTCTGACGTTGTGGAAAAACTCAAACTAAATTACTAAGATGAGAGCAAAGTAAATAAATAGCAAGCAAAATGAAATCTAATGTTGTTTCATATAGTAATAAGTTCAACAATATGTTTAACTGTTTCTGCCTTATTTGAGCTGCAACATTGTTACATTCTGGTCATTCAAAGTATTTGGATTTAAATAGAGCAGTAAAACATAAAAGGTTACAGTTTGGAGTTTTCATTTTATGATGCTTTTTTCTGTTTGTTGCAAATGGAGCTGGATAATGGATACGATTTTACAGAAAAAAAAAGCAAACAATCAGGGTGCAATTCTTCATAAGATGTCATATAACTGTCCAATGAGGGCAAAAGAGTAGTAGGTTTTTTTTCCTTCAGACAAGCCAGAAACCACTTCAAAAAACAGTTTTAGTGTCACTGCTTAGTGTGTCACACTGAGCCCTCTGCTGGTGCTGTTTTAGCTTAACACCAAATACAGTAATTGTGTTGCAGAAATTGAGACAAGATTTCAGATTGCATAACTTGTTAACAGGTATTAAGATTCGTGCATATTTATTGAAAAACTTTAATTTTTATGTTTTGATATTCTTAGAAATGCCATACTTAATGTTATAACCTTTTTTAATCACTAATTACAGTTAAACACACTAAACATAGGATTTGATGGATCACATCAAATAATAGGTTATGGACCTTTTAGTAAGAGCAAAAATAACTTTATTCTATATTCTTGCGTGAACATTTTGGACTTTCCAGACAGAAACAAACATGACAAAAATAAACATGTTCCTCTTTTTCGATAAATCTTTCCATGAAATTCGGAAATGGCAGTCGTGGTAAGCACATCACAAGGGAGACTGAAGACTTTAAAATGGAAAAATAAAAGCACAGTTTTCACGCTACATTCAGATGTGTCAAGTTGCTAAAAGAATCAGAATCAGAAACTTTATTGTCATTGTCATGAGAACAACGAAATTAAGAATGGGGAAAGTCACCTAAAATTTATCAATGAACAAATCTGTTGTGGTTTGTGCTCACTGCATAAAAACAGAAAGCTAAATATAATTCCAAATGGATGCAGTATGACAGGCAGACACTGATAATAACCTATCTGAGAGGGACTGAATAATCTCTGTATTCATGAAAATGTTGATCACATGTGTAATATTCAGTCATACACACTGACTTAAGCTATCAGCCAATGCTATCACCCATGCAGATCAAACTCACACCTGTTGCTACACAACAGACGAATAAAATAGTAGAATTTTACTCACCAAAACTTAAACACAGACTTCCTGAGCAACTGTGCTCCAACACCAAAAACACAGTCAAGACATCTGTTTTGGTGTCACCACACCTGTCACACCCATCAACTCCAACTGGTATTTAGTGTGTGTTTGTGTGTGCGTGAGAGGGAGAGAGAGAGAAAATGGATTGATGTATTTTTCAACTACTTATACTTAAGAAGTTACTTTATCAATAATAGAAAAATAAACGAATAGTCTGTCAATCTCTACTTAGTAATTTTGAAACATATGAAAACTGTTAACAGCCAGTTTTATTTTTTCTTTCCAAGCTATTGCGACAAAATGGCTTAAGTGGCTTCATTGTATGGGTTCGCTTGACTCAGTAATTGACAGTTTGTGTTTACGGGTATGTTAAGAAAGTTTGCGACATTGGTGCATTGTAAAGTGCTGCAGCGAAGTTCATAGTTGCAGCATTTATTTTTGTATTTTCATAACTTTAAACTTAAAACTGATCAATTTTACTACATTAGTATCATCTGATAGGACTAGTTAGCTGCTTTACCAAATACAGGGACAGTTGTATTTGTACAAATTCCTGGCTTATTGACCAAACAGTAACTAAGAAATTAATTAAAAGAGAACAAAAACCAGCAGATAAGTTTTTAATTACAAAAGAAAATTGCTGGTTTTATATTAATGAATAAGTTATAATAATACGATATAACACTCAGAGCTTTTAGCCAGTGATGTTAGTTTTGATTATATAAGCAAAGTTTTATAAATACATTTAAATATTTTTTATTTAGCACAAGACTTTAAACTGAACAGTGCTGTTTATGAGACGTGTTCACCATAAGGTGGCACATATCAGCCATTTTACACGTTTTAAAATACGCAGCCACCTAATAATGTGTAGTCCCCTCTGTGCTGATAGGCTTCCCCACTGCATGCAAAATATTTCTTAGTATTAAGAGTACTTCCTGTCAAGTTTCTGTTTTGATGAGCCAAAGCGAAGATGTGGAGACTTCGAAACCTGCTCTTCACCCTCTGCAGTAAGTTGTTTAAAGAGCTAAAAAAAAACAACATAACACACCCTTTATTGGACTTAGGAATTGTATTATTATTCATGAATGTTGACATGAAAAAATAAACAATTATATAATTTTTTTATAATTTCTTTACTTTACAGTTGCTCTGGGATGTGTGACCAGTGCAGGAGGGGTGATACTTGTGACTGGATATGTGGGGGGGAAGGTAAATGTTTCCTGCACTTATGGTCACGGTTATGAGTCTTATGAGAAGTACCTGTGTAAGGATGTCTGTGGTGACAATGATGTTCTTATTACAACATCACAACAAAAAAACCCCAAATACTCAGCCTGTGATGACAAAAAGGCACGAACCTTCACAGTGACCGTCTCTGATCTTACATCTGAGGACGCTGGGAAATACTGGTGTGGAGTGACCAGAACAGGACAAGATATCTACACTGAAGTGAAGCTGAAATTAGCACCAGGTAAATAAAGCATTCCAAATTTGTAGTCAAGAAAAAAATCACATATAAAAGACATATATACATACATATAAATGTACAGTAAATCAAAACATAACTGGTAAAGGATTACAGTGGTCTCTCGCTATAATGCGGTTCACCTTTCACGGCCTCTCTGTTTCACTGATTTTTTTTTGTGCAATTTTGCATGCTTGTTTTTTGGGGGGGACTTTTTTACAGCGCATTGTGTTCTGCGCCCTGATCGGCTGTAGACCATTGTCAATCAGCCTCCTTCACGCCGTGTCTTCTGCACAGTGCAGAATGTGTCCAGCTTGTCAAATTTACATAAATCTTCGATCCCTAGCAGTGTGACTCTGAAGTGCTGTACTGTATATTTGTAAGTTTTCTCCCCCACAAACACAATAATGTCGATGAAATGTTTTGCACAGTCAAAGGCACCTACGGTAGCACCTAAGAGGCAGAGGAAGATGCTAACCATTGCACAAAAAGTTGGACTTCTGGACATGCTAAAGAAGTTAGAAGTTACCGTATTTTTCGGACCAGAAGGTGCATTAAGTGAAACAAAACAGTCAGATAAGGCAAACTTTACTCAACTCACTCTTCTTGCTTCCTCTACTTCCGTACCATTGATTCATTAATGTTGCATTCTCTGGCAGCTGCTCTATACTCATGGTCTGGACCTGAAAACAGGGTTTGATCTTTGGTTTCATTCTATAATACTGGACTTATTTTTCTATGAAAATTTGAAGTTTGAGAGTGTTTAAACAAGAGAGAAAAGTGTGAAAATGTTCATGCCTGTCTTAGAAAACTGTCTAAAGTGTGGTTTTACAGCCTTAAAACATCTATGATAATTGTAAAAAAATAAAGCTGGCTACTTTGCGGATTTAACCTATTGCGGGTTATTTTTAGAACGCAACTCCCGTGATAAACGAGGGACCACTGGACTTGCTTTTATAACATGGCTGCACATGACATATGACAGCCTGGATCGATCTTTATTAAGATCCCATAAAGGGAATGAACTGCACATATAAATAGGAAACAGTAATAACCACACATAAAACTAATGGATAAGGCGATGGCTGAGTGCACAAATGTCTGTGAAGGAAAGTTATTACTTTAAACATACAATAAACAATAGGCTCAATATGAAATATTATACCTCTCCTCTGTGGTTATAACACATTTTCTACTGCAATTTATGTTTTTGACAGACAGCTGCTGTAACACTGTGACCATAATCCAAAGTTATGAGGGATATTCAGGGGACATCATTTGTTCGTATGAGCCTCGGTACCAGAACTACTTCAAGTACATCTGCAGAGGAAAGCGGTCCTCCACGTGTCTGCAACAGGCACTAATCACCTCTGACAACAAACAAAATGGTAGAATCAAATTTAATGATGATAAGAGGTCAGGAAAATTCACAATGACCATCACCAGTTTGGCCCAAAGTGATTCAGGAACATACCTCTGTGGTGTCCAAAAAAACTCTGTCCTGGATGTTTTTTCTGCTGTTGAACTGAACGTCAAAGGTGAGAGGTCATAGTCATATCTCATATGTCATTGTTTTGTTTTTGTTTTTTTAAAGGACTCTTTTATATGGTTTGATATTTGATCATCCTTTAATATTTTTTTGTTTTCCAATCTGACAGAGTGGTGCTGTGTCAAGTCAAAAACAACAATTGGGACTGCAGGATATCCACTAACATTTCAGTGCCCTTATCCTTCACAACATCATGATAATAGCAAGTTTCTCTGCAAAGGAGACCACCGCAACAATTGTACAAATGTGATGAGTCAAAGCAGGTTCACAGTGCAAGATGATGGTTTTTCCCACTTTTTCTTGGTGATGATCGCAGAGCTGGAAACAGCTGATGCTGGGACATACTGGTGTGGGTCAGACTCACAGTGGAGAGTTGAAAACTACACTAAGGTTGAGCTGTCAGTGGGTAAGGTGAACAACCATTTACATGACAGCAAAATTAATAGAGCTGAAAGTTCCATCTTTGTTTGGACCCCACTAAACATGGGACTGTGGTTTATGGTTTAGTTATCTGACATGATCAAATAATTGCAAAACCAGCAGCACCATGCATCACACAATTTGCAAGCAATCTGCCAAAATTAGGACTACTGAGAACACCAGTTACTTATACTTAGACATATCACTTCCCAAATCTTTTGCTGGCTTCAGTGTGTGTGTGTGTGTGTGTGTGTGTGTGTGTGCATGTGTTAAATTTTCTCTTTTTTCAGACGATTCTCTATTTCCCCTAAAAATGGTTATGCCTCTC